ATTCAAGCTCGCCACAGGTGAGGTACTGTTTGCAAGTAAGAGAACTGCACTCATATCGTGATCATGCAGTGTAAACTTTCCCACCTGTTTGATGCATGGTGAGAACCCCTTGGCTTCGTACTCCTTGTCATGCAACGTGGAGGTGCAGACTGACACGAAGTGAGTTCACTCTCTTCCCAGGCTCCATCCAGGAGACTCTTCAGTATCCGTTACTCCTGCAGAGCACTCCTGCTATCCACAGCATGCATACGGCGACCTGAAAAGGAAGGGTTATGGAATGAGTGAGCAAACCTCCCATGGGAGAAATTTCCATTAAAAAAGAACAGGGCATGGCCATGCACTGATACCACCAGCAACACAGCATGCTCAAGGCCCCCAATGGCACAATGGATGGCCAAGCTGTGAGCCTGCATTCCCACTGGCTACCTCCCACCAAAGGCCTAACATGGAATGTCCACCCAGATGGCCCTCACACCTATCATTGTGTATGAAGCACATCTGGCACCATCCAACCAGCCAAATGATGAGCACAAGATCATCCAGGCCTGCCTCCAGCAGGCCCTTTAGGTTCCCTGGGGGCCGCAGTGTCCTCACACTAACCCCAGCCTGATGCCAACCATCTGACAAGGAATGCTTCATGAGTCAGTCAGCCTGACCATCACTTCCCTGCAACCTGTGGAGAAAGGAGTGCGGCCTAGCCATGCAGTCAGCCTGACCTGCCAAAGATATCAGATAGCACACCCCAATACAGTGGACAGCCATACAGTGAGCCTGCATTCCCACTGTTTTGACTCAGACAGAGCACTGAGGCCCTTTCAATAGACCACAGAGAGCCCTCACTCCTACCGTGCAGCATTCGCCTGACGTTCAGCACATCTTTAGGCCCATGTGGTGTCTGTCCTGCCTAGCTTGACTCCAGCAGACTGCCTATGGACTGTTTAGCAATACAGCACAACTGTCCACACACTACCAGCTAAGCAGCAGTCCTCAGAGGGCTGGCCACAACAAAGTGAAATGGCCCTGTTCCTCGGCTCCACCTGGTGGACTCATTCAGGATAGGTAGTCACGGAAATGTGCTTTCCTCCTGGAAGAGTCAGACATAGGGAGGGCTGGTGAGTAGCGCTAAGCATGCAGCAAATCTGCCCTCGGTGCATCTTCTAGGCATGGCTCCCATGAGGACTACTTGGTCAGAGTGAGCACACCATTATCCCTGCTGGACCCTCTTGAACAAAGGCACGGAGCCTAGTACCTGAATAAGAATGCCCTTCCCCTGGACATCCAATGGCAGAAGGTTCAAACAGCCAATCAATGCGCAGTGAGCAGGCATTCAATCTTCGCTGCCTCCCAAAGAATGACTAGAACCCCTTCACAGCTGGGAGAGCCATCACTCATACCTTTCTGCATGGCCCAAGTTTTGGGGACTAGTCAGCTTCACAGGGATCCAGGCCTCACTTGCTGTCTCCTCCAGGGATATGCTTATGGAAGATTTTGCCATGCAGTGAGACTGTCATCAAGCCGGCAGGAAAGCAGGAGGCTTGAGAAGGCCTGTCATAGACACCACGAGCTCATACAGAAATGACTTTCGTACAGTGGATCATTTTGGACTGTTTAGGCATTTGGAGAACACGCCCAGCAACAAACAATCATACAGAGGTAGGAGAGTCATTGTACAACATGCAATGAGCCTGAGGCTGCCCACAGCCATGAACCAGGGCCACGCTGTGAATGGGTCAGCCATGCCTTTGGCATGCCCTCCTCCCAGAATCAAGGAGGTAAAGCCTTGGGTTCGACCTCGCATTGCAGACACGTTAAAGTTGTCACACATGGAAGGTGGGATTACCTTGAGGAGCTCCTACACAGTGTGAGCCGGCCAGGCCCCTGGACTTCAATCACTCCACAGGTGAGGTACTGTTTGCAACTAAGAGTCCTGCTCTCATACGGCAGTCATGCTGTGAAACATTTTGTACTTGTTCGATGCATGGTGAGAACCCCCTGGCATCATCCTCCTTGCAGTGCAACTTGGAGGTGCATACTGGAGCGAAGTGAGTTCACTCTCATCCCAGGCTCCGTCCAGGAATCTGTACAGGAACCGTTACTCATTCGGAGTGCTCCTGCTTTCCACAGCATGCATACAGCCACCTGAAAAGGAAAGGTCATGGAGTCAGTGAGAAAATGTCCCATGGGAGAAATTCCCATTGAAAAATGAACAGGGCATGGTCACGCATTGATACCACCAGCTACGCAGCATGCTCAAGGCCCCCAGTGGAACAATTCAATGGCCAAGCACTCAGCCTCCATTCCCACTAGCTGCCTCCCTCAAAAGCCTACCATTCATTGGCCACCCAGAGGGCCCTCACTCCTATCATTGTGCATGAAGCACAACCGGCTCCGTCCATACAGTGGAATGATGAGCACAAGATCATCCAGGCTTTCCTTTGGCAGCCCCTCTAGGTTCCCTGTGGCCTGCAGTGTGCTCACACTAACCCCAGCCTGATGCCAACCATCTGACAAGGAATGCTTCATGAGTCAGTCAGGCTTCTGTCTCTTCAGGCTGCAACCTGTGGAGAAAGGAACAGGGCCTAGCCATGCAGTCAGCCCAATTTGCCAAAGATAGCAGATAGCACACCCCAATACAGTGGAGAGCCATAGAGTGTGCCTGCCTTCCCACTGTTTTGACTCAGGCAGACCACTGAGTCTCGTTCAATATCTCACAGAGAGCCCTCACTCCTACTGTGCACCATTCCCCTAATCTTCAACACATCTTTAGGCCCATGCTGAAACTGCCCTGTCTAGCTTGACCCCACTGGACTGCTTATGGACTGCTTAGCAATGTA